AAGCCACACCCTAGCTCTTTTTATTTAATTTTTTGGAAAGGGTCTCTCCCTGAGAGCGCCCCTTTGCCCCTCCTCCCCCCACAGGCCAGGCCCACCCGCCCACTTTCGAGTGAGAGAACTTATTGCTGTGTGTGTGTGTTGGGGAGGGGGAGCCGCCGAGCTCGACCCCCCGCCATTCCTTCCTCCCCGATCGCCCCGCCCCATGCCCCGTGTCCGTGCGTTCCCGGAGCGCAGGAGGAGCGCGACATGCGAGTAGGGGCGCGCGTCATGCAGCGCATGCGTGTAGCTGCAGGCACCTGGCGGCCGAGGAGAAAGGAGCGGGACTTGGAAGCAGTCCCTTTAGCTCGCTCACCCTCCCCGAATCCCACACTTTGTTGACCTGGGGGATGGGGAGGGACGGGACCAAAGTCACGTTTTGTAGATGTTTATGACGGTGGTTATTTTTTTTAAGCTGAACTAAAAAGCTGGGTCTGTGTGGCCGATTGGCGAGCAGGGGGAGCCGTTGGGAAGAGGTCAGTACCCTTGGGGAAAGACTAACCCCCTCCCTGCCCTGTTCTGTGTTTTGTGGGGGTCAGAGGAAACTGGGGGGCTGTTGAAAGAAGTTAAACCCTTTGGCAATATGATCAGTCCCCACCCATACCCTAGTGTCTGGAGCCCCTAGCCCTTTGCCCTGCCCCACCGTTACCCTCCCCACTCCTCACCCCTGATTCCAGGGCTTAGGGTCCGAGGGGAGGTTGGGGGGACTCAAAATGCCCCTTGCATAGGAATCGTTGCATCGAGAATCGTGCTCAGTGACGCCCCCACCCACCCACGGGTGGGCGCGGGGTGGGGGTTCCTGAGGCTGTGGGAGCAGGGGGAGGGAAGGGGCTGATTCCGCGGGCCCCCAGCTCCAAAGGGGGACTCCGCTAAGGATTCTGGGACTGCGTGGGCTCTGGGCCGGGGGAGGTAGCTCTTCCTTGAGCCCGATGGGGTATGAGCATGGCGGCAGGAGAGGGGCGCTGGGGAAGGGCGGCCGGGACGCCAGCCCCCTGGGGATGCCGCCGCGGTCTCCCAGGCTGACTCTGCAGTATCACAGCCTTGCGGTCTGGGAGCGCCTCAAATGGAAACACTTGTAACCGCCTCAAATGGAAACACTTGTAACCGAAGTAACGAAGCCCCTACCAAGCAGCGCTACCCGATTCACTCCCAAAATGTGCGCATTCAAGAGAAAACTTTTTAAACCAGCACTCTTCCGTGCACTGCCCACAACCTTGTCCTACCAGCAAGGACACCAGTGCGACACTCCAGGAAGCCGGTGGCCATGAAGAGGGCACCATCTCAGGGAAGGGGCCTAAGGGCAGGGCAGGGCGAGGGCGGGAGAGAGGGCTGCTGGGTCTGGCTCCCTGGAGTTCCCTTGGAAGTTCTAGGTCAGGGGATCCTGGGATGGGTGAGTCCTGTGTTCTTTGGAGGACTTGGGGGTGTTGGGGAGCATGCCGGGAGATCTGGGTGTGTCCAGGAAATGTCAGAGTTGTGGGAAAGATCTGGAGCATCCCAAAGGCTGAACTGAGCTGGAGTTGGATGGACGCTTGGAGGTTTGAAGCCGGGGGTGCGACCTGGGGAATGGGGGTGTTAGGGGCAGGGAAGTGTCGGTTTGCAGAGGCTAAATCCCAGAAGTGTGTGGGGGCTCGGGGTGCGGGGTGTCAGGGCCCGTCTGAGGAATTCCAGATGCAGGGCTCATGTCCTGGGAGTGGAGGGGTTAGGCAGGGACTTTGTGGGCCAAGGCCGAATCTTCCCGGGAATTCTGGGTGGGGGGTTCTGAGTCCATGCACAGAGGACAGAGGCAGCAGCTCCCTTGGAGGGGGGTGAAATCACCAGCGGGATCTTCCCGAAGGCCAGGGGAGCCACCGTGGGCCGCGCACCCTCCTGCCTCTGCCGACTGCCTGGGCTTGACGGACATCCCTCCTGCCCCTGTCCTAGATGGATTCTTTAGTCAGTGAGTGGTGGGTAGGTTGCCCTGAGGTGAAAGGCAGGAGACCCCCCTGTGGCTTGAAGGCCAGCCTGATCCCCAGAGGTTCCAGCCCGCCTCCTCCGAATCTCAGCATGCAGCCCCGGCGGCTTATTGCTAAGGTGGCTTGGAGCAGGGGTCCGGCTGAAGAGCATGCAGAGTGGCGAGGGCGGTGCCCCGAGATGGAGTTGGAGTGGTTTGGACTTATTTACACGACGCGGTGCGAGAGGGTGTCCTATGGCTCATGGAGACCTGAGAAGGCTTTCTGTGGGGGCGTGAAGTAGGGGGACGGGCTTCGGCCCCTCCCCTTCCATCCTGGGGGCCCAGGTGGGGGGCGAGGGGCCCGGGGGTGTCTGCTGGCGTCATCATCTCGGTTGCATATTATTAATGACTTTTTGATTTTTAAAAAAAATACCTTCCCCACCCCCCGCCCCCAGCTCCTCTGACCTTCCGGGTCACCCCCGAGTCCCCCCACAGGGGGGAGGGGAGTGCTAGAGAATGGAGGGCAGGGTTGGGGGGGCGCGGCGGGTGGCCCGGGGAGAGCCAGGGGGGGTGGCAAGGGGTGCGAGGCGCAGGGACACCCCGCTCAGGCCCGCGATGCTGCTCAGGCTGCGGGATTTCTCGTAACCTGGGGAAGGGGCAGAAACACGAGGGGAAGCAAGGAGATAGGACGCGGGGCGGGTCCCACGGAGAGACAGGGAGAGGGAAATCCGGAGGGACAAAGGCAGTGGGGGGACAGTGAGAGACAGAGGGAGGCGGGGTGCAGGGGTGGGAGGAGCGGGCCGAGGAGACGGAGAGAGAAGTGAACGGATCAGGTCAGTCGGCGTCCACGAGAAAGGTGCAGACACGGGGAGGGGAGA